TAGCTTTTTTTTTTTTTAATTGTATTTTATTTTTGGTCCCGGGAATTGAACTCAGGACCTTGCGCTTGCCAGGCAGGCACTCCAGCCACTGAGCTATCTCCCCAGCCAACAGCTAGTTTTTGGCACATCATAATTATCTAGAATACCACACTTCAATAAGCAGCATATCATGGTAGTACACAAATTCTAATGGGGATATCAAGCAAAGGAATTTTGTATTGGAATAACTATATTCTGATAGACTTTACATTTCTATAAAGTAACTATAACATATCAGCCATTGAGGTGAAAATTCTTAAGGTCTAATATACTTTTTTTGGTACCCAAATTTAAACATAATTATCAAAATAGCACATTACCTACTCTCTGTTAACTAATACCTAAGAGCTTTTACCTGACTATTCAGAAAAGTCCACAGACCCAAGGGAATCAAATGTCTCTTAGAACCTGGATGCCTGGGCGGTATCAACAAAGGACACTCACTGACAGCCATTACCTTCCCAGTCTTAGCTGCTATTTAACAATTGGATATATATATATATATATATATATATATATGATATAGTTTCTGCCCAAATGGAGAAGTGAATATCTGGGGGCCTAAATTATAGTCCAAGGTGCATTTTCCTTTAAGAATACATCGTGGGGCTGGTGAGATGGCTCAGTGGCCTAAAGCACCTATTTAGAACAAGCTTAGCAAAGCACAGGGACCGCGGTTCAATCACCCAGCACCACATGCCAGCCAGCCCCCCCCCTGGTGGGCTGAGCTGGTCACACACACACACACACACACATAAATAAATAAATAAATAAAATTTTAAAAAAATACATCGTGAAGGATGGCTTGGGGGAAACAGTGCATTAGCACTTTTAAGTATAGAATGGTTTAAGAAAGGCTCATCTGAATGAGGTTCATCTGAGACTTAGCACTTACATAGCATTGATTCTGTAAGAAGTATATTCAGAGGTCTTGGATATAGACTTACAGCAAAATTTAACAGTGAGTGACATCATGGTCCTTAATTCTCCACCTTCATTTTCTTTTTGTCTTTTGTATCTCCTCTCTTTTCTTGTGTCTTCAACATTTCTCATTTCTAATCCTTGCTGGTTTCTTCTTCCCCGCAGTGTAATACTCCACCATCCCTCTTTTCCCTTATTGTGTGGCTTCTTTCTCTTCAGGTGAGCTGTGGTCAGCTTTACCTCCTGAGTTTCTACAGTGGTGAACAATAAGCATGTCTAGAACCCTATGTAGGAAAAGCTATCATAGGGACGTGATTAAGCTAGGGGAAAAGGACCTTAAGACTTTTTCTCTGGACATATCATATACTGTAAGGTATATGAATATAAATGACTTAGAAACAGATCATTAGAGCCAGGTATGTAGCACACTCGTGTAATCCCAGCTGTTTGAGAGGCTGAAGCAGGAGGATCATGCATTTGAGGGGGGCCCGCTGGTGGGAGGGGACTAGAAGTCTCGTAGTAGTTCTCTGTGGTGTTAAGTGTAGCTTTTTATACATAAATATCTTTAGTACAAATTTTCCTATCTATGCTTGAGAGATCCACTCAACCATTTGAAAATGAAATGTTCACAGTGGACAGTACACCTTGGAATTATTTTGCAGTCAAGAGGAACCCCATTCTTTTCTTTATTCTAATAAAGGCTTTTCTTTCATCTTTTGTCAGTTATAATTAGATAATGACAGTTACTTTGATAGGCAGGTAGCAGGGATAAGTGCCAGTCTTTTATGTTTAAATTGACTAATTTCAGTAAGTGTTTTTTAAAACGTAATACTTTAATTCTAATATGGTCTTTATGTCTGTTAGCCCTGTACACTGTTTTCCTCTGGTTTCTTTCTGCATGGTTCATGGTGTAGTAGATGTGGCCAGATCTTGCCATTCTGTGACTGCAAGATGAGGTGACATTTAAAACTACATACATGCAGCTTTATATAAGAGAGCATTAGATTCTGCAATACAAAATAAAGAAGCCAAAATAATCATACTTTAAACACAAATGAGCCTACTTCTGTCCGCATCAAAGAGACGTGCCCTTCAAAGTCCAGGGCCACGTGGCAGCACCTGCATGAGCAGAAACAGGACTTCCTCCCTTCATGCCATCAGGAAGTGCCATCCTTTGGAAGTGACCTGGTTCAGGAGAACTTCAGGAGTTCAGGGCATGCAGGTAGCAGAAAAGAAAGGAGGAAGATTTTGGAAGTATGCTGCCCAGTAATTCCTGCCATGTTCTGCAACTCAAATTCAATCACATGGTCAGATCTAGCTTTATAGTCTAGAAAGAGATTGAAAGTCTTTAAACTATTTAAATTAGTATTCTCTTAGAAAGAGTAAGGGGAAAATGCTATCAGATGGTTGTACCCAATTAAGAATGAAAATACTTAAAAGCAGAAATCCCAAATTTTAAAACAAAGCAAAAAATGGTACTAAGATTTGATTGAACTCAGGAAATAAATTGAAAAAGACAACAGCATTTCACAAATAACACACTAATCACAGGTTATCTAAGAGTAAATTCAAATAAAGTCCATTGATGAGAAGGAAAACAGCAGGAGAATAAAAACAAGATGTAGAAAGAAGAAAAAAGAAAACAGTGTCAGAAGGAAACAGACAGTCATTTAGTGGCCAAGTTCCAGTCATACAACTAGGAAAATACTTAGTGTAAATTCACCATGTTTAAATGTAGACCCAAGACTAAAACAGTCGTGAGTGTGATTGCTACATACTCTGATGGGAAATAGTTCTGTTTTACAGATAATAAATGGGAGTCATAGGGCATCATTTTAAATGTGCAGACTAAGGCCTGGGAGATAGCTCAGTGGAATAAGTGCAGGCCTGGCAAATGCAAGGTCCTGAGTTCAATCCCTGGTACCGAAATACAGACCAAATAGTAAAAAGCAGAGGAGATTTAGGGTACACTAAGGTATACACACATACACACATACATACAACCTCACTGGAACAGAGAAGGGCAGATCATCCTAAGTACCAAAAGAAAGTACCAAAAAAGAAAAGTAAAAATACCATACAGATGGAAAAAAAAAAAAGTATGAGTAATAAGCTGGGGTAATCGAAGAACAAAGTAATACCAGTTATGTCAGGTTGATTTAGAAGAAATTGATTTTCAGATGGCTTCATAATGCAAAATCCAATTCTGTGCTATATACAGAAGACCTGTAAGATAACAGTAATTCAAAACATAAAAATAAAGGGATATACAAAGCTACCATAGGCATATGTAAACAGTAGGACTCACAGGTTGCAATCTCGATGGGCAAAGTAAGATGTAGGCCAAGGGAAAAAAAGTAACGCAGTGTACATACAATGGCAAAAGCCATAATTCACAATGAAGTTAAAATATTTTTTAATATATGCACTAATAACATCAGACACTTAGCAGAGCAGAATTGTTCTCAGGATGCTGTATAGGCAAGTATGTACAAAAAGTATAGAAAATATACATATCCCAAGCCAAACCTCGATAAGCAGTTTCATCAAGGAGTCTTGGATTCTTCGTAGACAATGTTTAGAGGCCGCAGTCCTTATGTTAGGAGTGCATGCTTATGATCAGTTTGTTGTTGTTGCCACACCTTCATAGCTGGATGATTGTCAGTATTCACTACAAGAACAGATTTAATACGTATCATATATATTCACAAGATAGACTTACAGTGGTTGCCTACAGAATCACAGTGGAAGAATCCCAAAGGGATATTTGTGCAGTGGAGGGCTAAAGGATCCGGTAAAACATGAAAGGCCTGGAGCTCACTGCAGAGCCCCATGTGGGTCTGTATCAGGCGATGGAGAGTGTGACTGACTGAGACTCAAGAGGCTCACTGGGAAGGCTGAAGAGCCTGCCGTAGAAGCCTGGAGACAGACGTCCAAAGGCAGTGGCGAAGACTACAAAGAAACAAGCAGGCCTTCCTCCTTTCCCTTTTTATTCCATCCAGGCTACAAGCCTATTGGTTGGTGTCGTTTAGATCCAGGGTGGGTCTTCCCTCTTCATTAAATCTATCTGTAGCTCAGCCATGCCCAGAGTTATGCCAAGCCAATCAGCTAGACATTCCTTATTCAGATTGGCAAAACAGTTATCAGTCAATTTTCAAAGAGACAATCTTTAGCTCATACCAACGTTCCTCATTGAGATTTATACTTTTCTTACATCTTTTATGCTAATATTCTAAGTTCCTAATGCTATTAACCTGAAGTTTCAAATTAGCTATTACCAGTATTATTACTAACAGTATGGTTGTTACAAAAAGTTTTAAGATGTTTATTGTTCTCTTTGTCCATAGGATATTTCCTAATATGTGTGTACAAATACTGTGTTTTAAATTAACTTGAAATAATTTCCCTTTATGTGATTAAATCACCAGCTTCCTACATAGGTAGGTTTACTGTTTATTATGCTTTATATTTATATGATTTTATTTTTGCTGTATTTAGAAAAAAATTTAATAATTCAAGATAGCCAATAGACGTGGTCTAAGTAATCAATGAACAGTGTTCTCAGGGGAAATAATAGTTTTTCAAGAAATTTTTTTTTCCCAAAATAGATGAGAAATTTAATCTGTAGTGTATTGCTGTATACTAACTGGAGTTTATAACCTCTGAGACAGCCCTAAAAAGTGCTGCATACCACTGCCAAACATGCAGTTTCTAAATATTCTGGGATTTTAAATCAATATTTTCTAAGACTTTGCAACTTCAAGAAAACTGTATGAAACTTATCTAAGCCCCTTTTAGGACCTAAATTATATAGATAACTGTTCATCTACTCTTCAAACATAAAATAAAAGTTTTATGTAAATTTTTATGCTAATACAAAAAGATATACCCTGGCCTGAAATTTGCTAAAGACTTGACATCATTTTGAGTTATGGAAGTCTGGTTTTGTGACGGCAGCACCAAAGCGGAGGGCTGTAGCTACTGTGCTGGTCTTCGAGAGGTGGAATCCTACAGTGTATGACTGTGGTTTCTCTTTCCAGAGGCTGATAAAATACCAGTGATGCGCGGCCAGTGGTTTATTGATGGTACCTGGCAGCCTCTGGAAGAAGAAGAAAGTAATTTAATTGAGCAAGAACATCTCAGTCGTTTCAAAGGTCGGCAGATGCAGGAAAATTTTGATATTGAAATGTCAAAATCCATAGACGGAAAAGATGGTAAGACTAATGGATACATTTATTCTGTAAGCAGAGTAAAATTGTTCATAGGGTGTAAAGTTCTTAGGTGTGGTAATGGTAATTGGGAAGGATTACAATTCATAGAATTAGAATATTTAGATAAAGTGCTGGGGATAGAACCCAGGGCTTCATACATGCTGGACAAGTGCGCTTTCACTGGATTATATACCCAGCCCTAAAATTCGGTTTTGGAAAATACTAAATTATTTTAATTTTAAAACTGTCTAAATTTTTATCTTGCTTACTATGTATGTTGTACTGCATGATACTGGCGCTGTTTATTATGAATGCACAGGTGTACTGTAATCCCTGAGTTAGGCTTTTGGGCAGTTTTGTAGTTACCAAAGGAAACTGATCTCACCAAAAACTTGCTTAGCAAAAATTCCCTCTCATTATATCAAAAGAACTATTTTGTTAATGCTTAAATGTTGCTTTTCCTTAAATTAAAATAATTAATTACCTTTGTGTATCTCTTAGCTATCTATCTAAGGACAATAATCCGTTTTTAATTTCAAACAGTCTGCTTTTTACATTTCCTTTTCAATCTTTGAATATGTTTGCAGTAGTTAAAAGTATTATACAATTGCCATGTTTTCGTTATATGTCTGAGTAAAATTGAAAATATGTGGTAAAGTTAAAAATACTTCTATTGTTCCATTTACTGCAGGCAGTGGGATCAACTATTCTGGTGAGTACAAAATGTACAGGTAGATTACAATGTATAGCTACCGCTTTAAAATGTATTTTAATCGAAAACCGTTTCTTCATCCATGCTTGCCTTTATCTGGGAGGTTTCTCAGCCTCCTGAAGTAAAACTCAAATGGAGTGATTTTTCTCCTTCCTCTCATAAAGTGTTTGGAAGGCAAAAAATCCCAATATTGATCAGATAACATATGCACCTTGAAAATACAAATTACGTGGTTGTAAGTAATTGTTTACGTAACACCTAATGGCAAAACGCGCTTTATATTGGCTGAAGACTTTCTTCTTCAGTGAGCTGTTTTCTTCTCCCTTTTGGCTTTTACCATCCTCATCCCTGAACACACAGGGATGTACGCATATGTACGCACTGGTCACGAGCCAGGGAGAGTTTCCGTATATCACATTGAAATATCTTTTGCATCTACTTGGTTAAAAGCCTATAAATGAAGAAAGTTGTGACTTCAGAGTGAATTGGCAGTTAAATCTAACATTCATGTAGGAATATTTGTCTATGATTCTGCTGGAATTTTAAATATAATCGCTGTAGTTGCCATAGAAATGGATACTTCACTTTTGTTAAGAGGATAGCTAGCCAGTTTTACATAGTGATTTTCTCTTAGTTGGTGTAATAGTTTATAATCACTCATCACTACCATCAGAATAACCTCAAATCAACTTCATAGTATTTGAATGATGAACTTGTATAGAATAATTTTATTGCCATTGGGAAAAATTTAAAATTTTTTTCCTCTTGCCTTCTGCCTCTAATATGGTAATTCACCTTACGAAACCCAGGTTAGCCACCCACATTCTGTACTCTTAGTGAATGAGAAAAAATCAAAACCTTAGAGGAGGAAGGGGATGAATATATAAAATGTAATAGGTTGCTCCCCTTCTTATGTCTATTCAAAACATATTTCTCAATTTGTTAACTCACTTTGGTGAGTTAATCCTTAGCTCTGTTTCCTCTCTAAATCCCCTGTTGGGAAGCTTATCTACTACAAAATTAAACTGAAATGTGTCCTTTTTACTTCTGCTCCCTCAGTGTTAAGTATAAGCAGATTCTCTGGTTTTCTCAAATGACACTTTTCTTAAGTGAGTCTGATATAAGAGCCTGTTTCATTTGTGTTAGGTTTTTAGTATGTCTTTGAGTGTGAATGTGTATGTCAATTGTAAGATACCAGCCTAGAGTAGCAGAGTACCATCTTAGTAATAGCAGTATTATGAAACTCAAAACATTTTTGCATTGTAATCTTTCAAAGTTGATTCTTTGCAGTTTTCTGAAGAAAATTGATTTTTTTTAAAAAAATATACTGTGACTGATAGGCAAAGATTGAGCATGCTTTGTTTTTTTGTTTTTGTTTTCTGAAATTTTTTTTTCAGGGGGGTGGGGTTCAAGACAGGGTCTCACCGTGTAGTTCAGGCTGGCCTAGAACTCACTTCAGTCATCCTGCCTCAGCCTCCCAACTGCTGGGAGTACACCTGCGTGCCACCACACCCAACTTATGCTTTGTTACTAATTAATTGGAGATTATAGATTAACTTCTGCTTAAATACACTGTTAAAATTTTTAGTCATTTGCTGTGTGTTAAGATGTGACATTTGACTTCGAAGAGTATGGGAAATTTTGTAGTGCGTTTGAAGATTAGACTTATCTGAAGAAAAGAACATCTGCCATCCCAAAACCACAATTTTCAATCCCAAAAAACTAACTTTTGGGGGGGAACCCTCAAATTTATATATTTACAAAGATTTTAAAAATCTTTTATTTTTAAGCCTCAGAAATTTTGCATTTCATTAATTTGCAAGGAAAATAGCTTTTCCAACTAAATTTTCTCCTTACTTAGGTGATAAAGCCTTGACTCTTCGATGTTATTGTGCCTAGGCAGTTTTCAGAAAAAAAGACAGTTTCTACCTTCAAGAAGTTTTCAACTTATTTAAAAGACCGAGCCAACACATAAGAATAGTTATAAAAGAATACATATAGGATGGCATTGTAGAGAATGAATATTTGGGGCTGGAGAGATGGCTCAGTGGTCTAAAGCACCTACTTAGAACAAGCTTAGCAAAAGCATCAGGGACCGCGGTTCAATCCCCCAGCACCACATGC